CCTTCTTACGTTGGCAGATAGGAAGGTGTTGGATTGAAAATGGAGCATTTCTTTCTCGTCCAGTGAACTTCCAGTCACGTACTCTCTCTATTTATTCAGACAAAGGTAGCAGTCCCAATTACACACGTCGTGCCAGATCGGTCTATAATCCTTCGGATGAGTATGCGGCCCGCACGGAGTCAGAGGAACGGGAACACCTTAGGCTGGCAATGGCCCTCAGTCTTCAAGACTCCTTCGACAATTCGGCGACAAAATCCGGCTCAGACATCAAACCCACCCTGTTGGAGAGTTCACGAAAGGCTAGTAACGTGAGTTTTATTTTTTGCAGTAGTCTTGTGTATTTAAATCCTAAATGGTATTACGCTTGGTCAGATGCAGGATGACTTACTCAGCTCATTAAATTGTTTACGGCTCGATTGACAGAGGTAGTATCTTTATGGCGATATTTTTAGTTTCATAAGCGTTGCTGCTGTCCAAAAGTTATTACTAATTATATTGGGGGATTTGTCCATGAATACTTACCGTTTCGTTTTACTAGAAGATTTTCAAAGCCACCTTTATCGAGAGTGCCTTTATCCCCTAGTCTAGGGCATTAAAATACTGGAAACTGATCAGAAGTGTTATTTCTCACTTTTGATGGCGCATGTCTATGAGTGGTTCTATCTTGTTTATTCATTTTGTTGCAACATTGGTGACTATACAATAAGGGATTCTATGCTACAAGCTATTTCCAACATGTGAAAACAGAATCACCCAACTTTGTTTCCCAAAGTTTAGAAAAAATTTTTAAGTGATGGTATTTTCTGATTCTCTGCTTTGTGTTGGGGATGAATAATCCAAAAGCCGGCTTGCTATAGACAAAGCGCTTAAAAGCTGAGTAATAAAGCGTCAGAAATGCTTACTTCTTTTATTTCATAATACTTTGGTTCGACATTCACTCAATGGTGCGGGATTTCGGTCTGCATTAATGGCAGGAGCGTAGAACTCTTTTTCGTCTTAAATAGGCTTCGGAAATAAAAGCACCTTTTCCGGGTTTAATCGCTTTTCATTCCACCATTCTTGCGCGTATTAATTGGTGACGTCCTTCTGAAGAGGTTTGCAGTCGGCTCAATCGACGTAAGCTTCACAGTCACTTGGGTAATCCGACCACTCCCCATTATCAAGAAGGTACTTTAAGTGATTCAAGCTACTGCACTACCGTATTCTTTAGTTAGATATCCTCAAATATTCACCTGATTCCTCTTTGGCTCTCTTTCAGACGCAGAGCGAAGATTTGCATCTCCTTGACGATGAGTCTCTCAAATCGAAACGATTAAATTCATGGTTGGAGTCGCGTTTCAAGCCCTTTGCCAGCTTATCCACCTCCGATCTCTGCACTCCATCCTCTAGTTTGATTGGTGAGCTGGTGTTTTTTTTGATAAAATTCCAGTGTCCTCTCGTTGATGTGTTGGATTTCATGGTGTGAAATGACCCCATTGAACATGTGTACACGTGTGTGTGGGCTTACATTCACACGGGTTTCCACCTAAAACGATAGACATGGAACAGGTGTGGTGATAGTAGCTGCCTTTTCATCTCATGAGGGGACGGGTTGGAGTCTTTACGTCTACATTTTGCTGTAAAATGGTTCTAGTCACTTCTAGGGACTCCGTAAAGCCAAGAAACTGGAGCCCTAGGTGGCGTGGCTAAAGCTATCCTGAATGTGCTGAGACCCATAAGGCCTAGGGAGTTGTTGGGCCTTCAAATTATGCGCTTTGTTTACGGTTCACATGAATATCGCCAACGGTATTCTGCATTAAAAGACTCACACTCTTCTTGAAAGATCTTACCGCCTCAATGTTGAGGTAGTTACCAACTAGGGGCTGTGGTTGTCTTGGTGCTTGCGGCGTGACTTTCCTTCTTTTCTTCAAAGGCGAGTGATGGAATCATCTAAGCGTTGGTCTCCTTTGAGACAATAACAAGCTTTTTTATTCTCTGTTAACTGATTAAAAACACGCTACTCATCAAAACACGTAGTCTAAAACGCGGCCAAGGTAAGGGCAGTGAAGTTGGTGTCAATACCGGCGACACGTCATGAGTCTTCGGTCGCCGCGCTGTAAAATTTGAGAATGGATGTCTAAGATGTGATGATATTGTGTAGAATGACAGCAGTTAGACGGTTTAGTGCCAAGACGTGTTATGGCAATCTGTTTACACACGAAAGGATCTACCACCGCCCTAATTGGAGGAGTCCCAGTCGTCTGACCTCCACTTGGCATCGCATTTTAGCCACTATTCGAACAAATAAACAAACAGGCAACTTCATCCATAAAACATTCTATTTTCCCTAATGTATATAGCTTCCCAGCTTTGTAAAAGTATTTTAAGGGACTAGACAAATGGTGTTGTTAACAGAAAACAAGTGTACCCTCCTTCCCCACTTTGCTCACCTCCGTTTTTCCAGAGGCTGGTTTAAATACCTCATTTACCGAATCCGACTGTAGTCATCATTTATGAGTCTACACAGGATATTTCAATGGAACTATCACTCACAATTTTCCCATTCAAGCAGCTAAGAGAAAGCTGTCCTCTGATATCCTACCGAGAACCCTCCACCTAAGGTGATTCCTTTTATTTACAGGTCCTGCTCCACCCACAGCGGAGAAGTGGAGTGTAATTTCAACGCAAATGCCTCTGTTAAGTGCCCCAAATGGTTCCCAAAATAGTGGCACCTTGACCGACTTGAGCGGACTCGATTTCGGTGCGTTTTAGTGCTCTCTCCCCTTTTTTAGATTGTTTTTTTAACCGGTCCATTTTTTCTCCTCCTCCACTGGGATTTAATGCAATAATCGCAAGTTGTTTCGTCATGATTAGCAAAGGTGTTCACAACTGTCATGTGAGTGGCATCACACGACCCACTTTTTGGTATATATACCACTTTTTGTGTTACAAAACAGCTAAAACTCCATCCTACTTAATGGATTTCAGCGGCCAAGCGGATGAAGGTTCTTTTGTAAGTGGAAACACCAGGACAAATTTCCTCAGGCTCTAGGTTCGTAGAATTGATTTATCTTTTAGATCGAGATGATGGTTCCCAATCTTCATAATGAATAGCTTTGATTCGTCATATTGGACTGCTTTTAAGCGATTCTTATGGAAGGAAGGAAGGGTCTGGCTTTGATGGAATCTTCCCAGCAAGGGGTACATGGCAAAGTGTGTGCAATTGTTAAGGACGTGGTGCAGCGGGTCAACAGTCTTTTTCGACAAGAAAGTTTAAATTTTTGAGCAGAAAATCACCTACAAACTATTTGAGGTGCGGTAAGCAGAGGTGAGATGAGGGTGGCAGTGAATGGTGGTGCAATGCCAGTTTCCTGTGGTGGTAGGAAGTGGATGTTTCCATCTTGTCCCACCCATAAATCAATGACATGCTGGAAAGGGATCTTTAATGCTTACCTAGCACCTTGAAAGGGAGTATAAGACGTAACCACTGCTGCAAACTATGCAGGCATCGGCACAAACCAAACACAAACCTAATGGAGTCAATACTGTGTCACTGGCACTTTAAGATGTCAAGTAACAAAGGGCTTAGCTAGATGCTGGTTCGTCTAGCCAAAGAATGCACACATAAAGCATGTTGACTGGTGGTGGCTTGGATTAAAGGGTTCTTTACAGTGGAGATTGCGATGGGTCACGTGCTGTGTGTGGGATCGTGGTGGGGGGGGGGCACAACCGAGGAGAGATTAAGGCGGTGGATAAAGAAGAGATGTCGGCGAGGCATTCTCAAAGTGGCTTCATGCATGTCACTCCACTGTCTGGATCACTAAGCTATAATTTCTTGTCACATCGTCGATAAAAATAAGATTTTTTTTTTTAAAAATTAAAGCGGTAATTTGCGGATGAAAGGAGCGGATCGGAGACGGGTGGGTTTCCACAAAACCAGGACAAATGGACGGAGTGGAGTAGTGGATTCAGGATAACAATATTAGTCTTGAAATCCTATCGGGAGGTATGAATGTTGATAAAATGCTTTCAGTTCTTTGCAATACAGTCCAATTTTTCATGAACGCACCTACGCTTGGGCTCGGGGTGACATATCTCCACACCCACATTAAAAGTGTGTACATGGCAAGAGAACGACCTACGTGAAGCGGTGAAACTTAGTGTGCCATCACTCAAAATTGTCATCTTATTGATTTGATTGGTGCTGTTTGACTTCTGAAGATCAAAAAGTACCGGGAACTGGGCGTCATGCCTTTTTGAGGACAGTATTAGGTTCCAACGGACCCTAAAAATTGCTGGTAACCCCAAGGTTCATTTCAGAGACGATTCAAGCCAGAAAAGCTAGGATAATAGGGTCATGCAGCGCCTTGTTGGAAGACGTTCTCTCTCTCTCTCTCTCTCTCGATTCAGAGTGGTGGAGGTGTCTACAACCTTAGGAAACATTCCTGGTTTGATTCTTCCGATATTCCCTTTCTTCATGGCTAACTCTCAAACATCCTGGAAGGTCTCGAGAACGGGACAACCCTGTGCCTCCAGTCCGCTTTCACCCGACTGTCGAATGGCGTAGGCACTGAAGACATCCGCTTTGATGTCTCTGTCCCATCCATTATTCTGGCTAAGAACTCCAAAGGAGTTAAACTGATCCAGAGCTTGGCAATCGGCTCCATAGTAAGGAGGTGAACTCTCACATCTAAAGAGGTCTGCCACAGTTGCCATTGTTTACAACACCAGGGCCTATTGTCAAAGTTAGGTAACCAAGGTGAAAATATTTGCGATAGTGTTTTGCAACTCCGGATCTTTTCCCAGTAATAAGTCTACAATTTTCATTTCCGCTTTTTGTGGCGCTGTGACAAAGGGTCATTTCAAAAAGTCCGGCCATCTTAGAGGTCAACTTAGTCATTCTCGAGCAAATTTTCCAAAGAGTACGATTCTCAGGAGCCTACTCCAGAAATTAGACAAGGACGAGTGGTGAGATAAAAGCTTTAACTTGATCACAGAGTATACATTGGTTGTTGTCGTGGCTAAATCATCACCATGATGACCACCAGAGCCGTGAAATTGCATTGACCCCACAAATCACAAGCGCTGCTTTTCTACAACAAAAAAATAATCTCCACTTCAAAGGTCAAACGATTCAAAAGCGGTCCGATATGTTTACAGCACGTTTTGGCAACTCATATGTGCGTGATCTGAGGCCTCAGATGTGGCGATTAAATTGTCATCTAACTTGGCATGGGTGACAAATGCTAATTTTTCATTTGTAAAACGACTTCATATAAAGTTTTAACCAATTTTAGATCCACTGACTATTTCCACGCCAGCGGAGGGACCACCGCTAGACAATTTTGGAGGCACCACTGGGCCTGATACCACTCTGGTAACTCTGACCCCCTCCACACTGCCTATCCATAAGACCTCAGCGGATGAATACTTTGAGAGTCTGGCGAGGCGAAAGGCTTCAACCGCTATTCCTGCTACGCCTGCTGCCACTGCTGTTGCCTCTACTGCTGTCACTGCTGCTGCTTTTAATACTGCCACCTTGCCCAAGAACTCTTCCACAATCATAGAACAGAGAGGTTCCAAACTCTCCAGCATGCTTGGCAATCATCGAGATTTGGTGGATCTGGACAATATCTGCGGCATTCAGAAATGTGAGTTTAAAGACTCCAAATAGTCTTCAAGAGGAAGGCGATTTTTCTCGATCTGGGTTTAGGGCATCATTCCCCTCCTCTCACTCTAATCAAAACAAGGGGTTTCTTGGGTCGCGTCAGGACCTTCTGATCTTCCCCAAAGATCACCGTCGATTACCCCTGATAGGGTGATATCTCGACAAAGACTATCAAATCAAAAAATCTGATCAAGTAGATACTTAAGAAAGCCCGTCAGTGAGTCATTTAAATTTGTCAACCTGCAACGTGAAACCCTCGAAATGGCATAAACGTTGATCTCTGTACTTTGCTGCATTTGTTAGCTAATTTATTTTCAAATGGAGCTGCCAAATTGACACCTTTTTTTGCAGTTCAGTAGACGCGAATTCGGTTGATTGGCACTGCCCTGGAGTGTAAATTAGCCGGCACCTCAAAGCGTGTTTAAGTGTGGGTGTCCATGCTTGTGTTTGAGTATGTTTGTATCGAACACGCCTGTCAGATTCTTCGACCTTGAAGCATAATTAGGTATGGTAATCATAAAAAGGGAAATTTTCGTTCTCTTTCTTGTCTCCAATCCTCATATGATGAAGCGACAGAACGGTTGATCTTGGAATCTGGCCTAAGAGATGCGTTGACTGTTATTGGATGTCAAAATCTTCTATCTAAAGACAAGCTGTTGTCATTTTGGTCGGTAAAAAAGCGATCTGTACTGCTTTGTAAAAAGTCGCTAGTCTGATCCTCGCACGACTATTCCCTTTTAGGATCATTTAGAGGGCGGGTTGACAAACTTTACAGACTCACTCAGTTGAATTATGCACTGGTGGCACTCCTGCAGGTTAGCGTGGCAGTTGCCTCTCTAGGATGAAAGGGGGGACAGTGTTCTGTCATTCTTTAGGCGTTTTGACCTGAGGTTGCGTCTGATAGAAGCAAAAATTATTCTCTCGTAGACGTGAAAACAACTATTCCAACGTGTTGGCTGTGAAATGCTGCAAGTGAAATGACGATGGTGCAACTAACTTCTTAGCTTAGAACGAAAATATTCAGTGGGTATAATGGTCCCCTCAGCGTTTGTCCCAGCCCACAGCGGATGCGCTCCCTCTCCAACTTTTTCGGTTAAAAACTATTAAATTTAATTGCTTTCAGATCCGAAATATCCTCCATCAATGCTTTTGCCTTGAACTCAATCACTCAAATTTGTTCAACTGATGAAAACCACGCGTCACGTATGTGTGACGATAATTGTGAGTGAGTGCCAGGGATAATTTTACTCTCTATTTCCAATTTAGCACCTCCAGATGGAGTAAGGGACATTTTTGGCGATAATCACTTTAATGCAATTGACAACTCTTCGATACCATCCATGAGTAAATTTGGAGTCAATGGACAACCTTCACTCAACTGGGGAGGTGGAGTAGTAAGTCACCTTTTTAATTTATATTTCGGTAATTCAAATCTAATTCCTCGTCTTACTAATATGATTTCTCCACCCGTTCATCAAGTCACTCTCAACCGTTCAACAACCCGCCCTCACTCCAGCAAATGAGCTGATACCACTGACCTCGCAACAACTCGCTACGCACGAACCGACTTGGCAGGCATTGGTTGGCCAACCGCAACTGTCGGGTGTCTACACCTCAGCCTCAACCACCAATCGTGTCTCGGTTGCAGGCGCTAATCCCTTCCTCTGACAAAGTGGAACTCACCTTTTTTTCTAACATAGACCATGCAACTTCTCATTCTTTCCTGTAAAAATTTGTCATTGGTGGAAATGACTTTTTTGGTTTTGGTATTGGCTGGTGTAGTACTTCTGTTTAGCACCAGTTTATGCCACTTGTGTGGCGATCAAGCCATAATGGACTGAAGACACCTGCGTAGTCACGATACTTGTCATCGATGAGCTCAACTCGAGTCGGAGCTGACATTCGGGCGGCCACAAAAAGGCAGACTACTGTGACAGTCTAGCACGTCGTAGTAGGTGCCGGGGATAGTGGTGGCACGGCTTTCATGTTTATGCAACGGCGTGTGACGAGCGAAGTTTGTCGTTGATATCCACGACTTATAGGAAGAC